TGTATTCTTTTTCTTAGATAAATCCCTTTAACATTTCATATAATAAGGGCTTGGTGATGATGAACTCCTTGAACTTGACCTTATCCGAGAAGCACTTCATCTGCCCTTCCATTCTAAATGAAAGCTTTGCTGGATAGAGCAATCTTGGATGTAGGTCCTTGCCTTTCATGACTTGGAATACTTCTTTCCAGCCCCTTCTTGCCTGTAAGGTTTCTTTACAGGCAACTCCACTGACAGGGAACTCCTTTGTAGGTGACTGTCCCCCTGTCTCTTGCTGCTTCTAGGACTCTCTGCTTCATTTTAATCTTGGCTAATGTAATTATGATGTGCCTTGGTGTGTTCCTCCTTGGGTCCAATTTCTTTGGGACTCTCTGAGCTTCCTGGATTTCTTGGAAGTCTATTTCCTTTGCCAGATTGGGGAAGTTCTCCTTTATTATTTGTTCAAGTAACTTTTCCACTTGTTGCTCTTCCTGTTTCCTTTCTGGTACCCCTATAATCTGGATGTTGGAATGTTTAAAGATGTACTGGAGGTTCCTAAGCCTCTCCTCATTTTTTGTATTCTTGTTTCTTCATTCTGTTCTGGTTGGCTGTTTCTTTCTTTGTTCTGCTTCAAACCATTGATTTGAGTCCTAGTTTCCTTCCCATCAGTATTGGTTCCTTGTACATTTTCCTTTATTTCATTTAGCTTAGCCTTCATTTTTTCATCTAATTTGTGAACAAATTCAACCGATTATGTGAGCGTCCTGATTACCAGTGTTTTGAACTGTGCATCTGATAGGTTGGCTACCTCTTCATCACATAGTTGTATTTTTTCTGGAGCTTGATCTGTTCTTTTGTTTGGGCCCTTTTTTTTTGTCTTGATGCACTTGTTAAGTAGTGAGGAGCGGAGCCTTAGGTGTTCACCAGGGTGGGGCAACCCACATCACTGGGTTGTGATGCTGCATGTGGGGCAGTGGTCCAAGAGGGAACAATAGCACTTACTCTGCTCTCTGCCAGATTTCACTCACTTTCCCTGCTTCCCACAAGCAAACTGGGACTTTCTGGTGCTGATTCCCATGTGGGTGAGTTTGTGTGCATTCTAGGACCCTGTGGGTCTCTCCAATAAACTCTCTTGTGAGGCTGAGGGTCTCTCCCGGTACCTCAACCCCCACAGGTGTTTTCAATTGGTTGTTTGAAGCTTTATTTTTCTGTACTTTGGGTTGCTCAGTCTGTTTTGCTTTTTAGCTGTTTCTCTTGGTCTATATGCACCTGAATGTGGGACTGCCCAGCCCACAATGTGCCACCTCACTGGGTCCGTCGGCCACTACCTTGCTGCGAGTCCTCTCTGCTGGCTGCCTGTCTCTGCCCCTCGTAGTAGTCTGGATGAATATGTCTTTTTTAACTCCTTCATTATCAGACTTCCAAACGGTTCAATTTTCTGACAGCTCTGGTTGTTTTTAAATTTGTTATTCTTCTTTCGGTTGTGTGAGGAGGCACAGTATGTCTACCTATGCCTCCATCTTGGCTGGAAGTTCCTTCTTTTTTTATGGCAAAGTTTAGCCCATTGTGTAAATGTACCACAGCTTTTTAATCCACTCATCTACTGATGGACACTTGGGCTGCTTCTGCATCTTGGCTATTGTAAACAATGCTGCAATGAACATAGAGGTACATATATCCTTTTGAATTAGTGTTTTGTATTTCTTTGGATAAATTCCCAGAAGTGGAATTGTTGGATCATAGGCAGTTCCATTTTTAATTTTTTGAGGTAACTCCATACTGCTTTCCACAGTGGCTGCACCAGTCTGTGTTCCCACCAACAGTGCGTTAGGATTCCCCTTTCTCCACCTCCTCGCCAACATTTGTTTGTTGATTTATTGATGGTAGCCATTCTGACATGTGTGAGATGATATCTCACTGTGGTTTTAATTTGCATTTCTCTGCTGATTGGTGACATTGAGCATCTTTTTATAATGTCTATTAGCCATTTGTATGTCCTCTTGAGAGAGATGTTTGTTTAAGCTTTGCCCATTTCTTTCTTTTTTTTTTTTTAGATTTTATTTATTTATCTTTAGAGGGGAAGGGAAGGAGAGAGGGAGAGGTATATCAATGTACGGTTGCCTCTTGTGCATCCTCTGCTGGGAAATGGCCTGCAACCCACGCATGTGCCCTGACTGGGAATTGAACCATGATTCTTTGGTTCGCAGGCCCGTGCTCAATCTACTGAGCTACAACAGCCAGGGTACCCATTTCACAATTGAAATGTTTGGTTTTCTGGTACTGAGTTTTAAAAGTTCTTTACAAATGTTGGATATTAACCTCTTATCAGATGTATCATTGGCAAATATGCTCTCCCATCCAGTGGGTTGTCTTTTTGTTTTGTTCATGATTTTCTTTGCTGTGCAAAAAGTTTTTAGTTTGATGTAGTACCATTTGTTTATTTTTTTCTTTTCTTCCTTTGTCCAAGGAGATGTATCAAGAAAAAATGTTGCTATGAGAAGTATCTGGCATATTACTGCCTATGTTTTCTTCTAGGATTTTTATAGTCTCAAGTCTAACATTTAAATCTTTAATACATTTTGAGTTTATTCTTGGATGTGGCATAAGAAGGTGGTCTAGTTTCTTTTTTTCTTTTTGCATGTATCTGTCCAATTTTCCCAACACCATTTATTGAATAAACTATCTCTAGCCCATTGTACGTTTCTGCCTCCTCTGTCAAATATTAATTGACTTTAAGAGCATGGTTTACTTCTGGGCTTTCTATTTTGTTCCACTGATACCTTAAATTTTTTATTGTGTTAAATATACATAAAATATAGCATTTTAATCATTTTAAATGCAGAAAGTAGCATTAGTCCATTTATAATGTTCTTCAACTGTCATCACTATCCATCTCCAGAACTTTTTCATCTCAGATTGAAACTCTATATACATTAAATAATGATTCCTCATTTTCCTCTTCCCCCAGTTCCTGACAAATACTATTTTACTTTCTGTCCTTATGAATTTGCCTGGTCTGGGTACTTAATAGAAGTGGAATCGTGCAATATTTGTGTCTGGCTTATTTTAGCATAATGTTTTCAAGGTTCACCCATGTGGTAGCACGTATCAATACTTCATTTTTGTGAATAATGCTGCTATGAATATTGCTGTACAAATATCCATTTGAGTTCCTGCTTTCAGTTCTTTGGGTCTACACATAGAAATGGATTAGCTAGACCATATGGTAACTCTATGTTTAACTTTTTGAGCAACCATAACACTGTTTTCCACAGTGGATGCACCATTAACATCCCCCCAGCCCCACCAGCAGGGTTCCAATTTGTCCATATCCTCACCAATATTGGTTATTTGCCTTTTATAACAATAGCCATCCTTCTGGCTATGTGGTAGTATTTCATTGTGGTTTTGATTTACATTCTCTAATGATTAGTGATGTTAAGCATCTTTTCATGTGCTCGTTGGTCATTTGTATATAATCCTTGGAGAAATGTCTGTTCAATCACTCTTTGCCCTGTATTTTGCCAGCTTTATTGAAGTATAATTGACATAACATTTTATAAATTTAAGGTGTACATTGTGTTGATTTGATACACTTATATATTGTGAGATGAATACCATGGTTAGTTAACACTCCATCACCTCACATAGTTACCATTTCTGTATGTGTGATGAGAATATTTAAAATCAATTTTGTTAGCAACTTTCAAGTATTTAATACAATATTATTAACTATGCTATACATTATATCCCTAGAACTTGTTCATCTTAAAACTGGAAGTTTGCAGCCCTTGAGTGATATTGTCTCAATTTCCCTAACCCCCCAGCCCCTGGCAATTACTTTTCTACTCCCTGTTTCTGTGAGTTCAGCTCTTTTATTTATTTTTTTTAAGATTTTATTTATTTATCTTTAGAGGGGAAGGGAAGGAGAGAGGGAGAGAAACATCAATGTATGGTTGCCTTTCATGGGTCCCGTGCTGGGAATTGGCCTGCAGGGAACTGGTCTGCAACCCAGGCATGTGCCCTGACTGGGAATCGAACCACGATTGTCTGGTTCACAGGCCCGTGCTCAATCCACTGAGCTACACCAGCCAGGGCGTGTTCAGCTCTTTTAGATTCCACCTATAAGTGATATCATATGCTATTTATCTTGCTCTGTCTGGCTTATTTCACTCATAATGCCCTCAAGGGCCATCTGTGTTGTCACAAATGGCAGGATTCCTTTCTTTCTCATGGCTAAGTAATATTCTGTTGCATGTGGGGGGGTGTATGTGTGTGTGTGCATATGTCTCACATTTTCTTTACCCATTCATCTGTAGATGGACACTTAGATTGTTTTTGTATATCCAAGATTGTGAGTAGTGCTGAAGTGAACATTTCCTTTGAATATATATACTCAGAAGTAGGATGCTGGATCAGGCATATAATAGCTCTATTGTTTAAAAGATTTTATTTATTAATTTTTAGAGAGAGGAAAAGGGAGAGAGGGAGAGGAAAAGGGAGAGAGGGAGAGAAACATCAATTGGCTGCCTCTCGCTCACCCCCACCTAAGGACCTGGCCTACAACCCAGACAGGTGGCCTGACCGGAAATCAAACCAGTGACCTTATGGTTCTCAGGCTGGTGTTCAATCCACTGAGCCACACTGGCCTGGGCCTATCTTTAATTTTTGAGGAAGAAGCTCTTTTCCATACAGGCTTAACCAATTTTTATTTTCACCAAGAGTTCACAAATGTTCTCTTTTGTCCATGTTCTCACCAATATTTAATTCTTGTCCTTTTCATACTAGCTATCCCAACAAATGTGAAGTGGTATCTTACTGTGGTTTCATTTGCATTTCCCTGATGAATAGTTTTGTTCATCACCTTTTCATGTATCTCTTGGTTCTCCGTATGTCTTCAGAAATGTCTGTTCAGATCCTCTACCCATTTAAACAATCAGATTTATTTATTTATTTATTTATTTATTTACCTATTGAGCTGTATGAGTTTCTTATATATTTTGGGTATTAATCCCTTATCAAGCTTTGCGCAGTGGCAGTATCATAGCCAATGAGGTTTATCCGAGGCATGATTATTGCTAATTGAAACCCCTTATCAGCCTAACTTCCTTCCAAGATGGAGGCATAGGTAGATACACTTTGCTTCTTCACACAACCAAAAGATGGACAACAAATATAGAAACAAAAATCAACCAGAACTGACAGAAAATTGAACTGTATGGAAGTCCTACAACTAAGTAGTTAAAGAATACACATTCATCCAGACCAGTAGGAGGGGCAAAGATAGGCAGCTGGGGTGGAGAGGACATGCAGCAAGGTGGCAGCTGGAGGACTAGGAGGGCAAGGTGATGGCTTCCAGTCCCACATTTGGGTGCAGATAAACTTGGGAGGAACAACTGGGGAGTGAGACAGACCGAAAATCTAGGGTTCCAGCATGGTGAAATAAAGGCTCAAAACCTCTAGTGGTAAAAACCTATGGGGGTTGCATCAGTGGGAGAAACTCCCAACCTCACACAAGAGTTCGTTGGAGAGACCCACAGGGTCCTAGAAGGCACACAAACCCACCCACCTGGGAATTAGCACCAGAAGAGCCCAATTTGCTTGTGGGTAACAGGGGAAGTGACTGAAAGCCTACCAAGAGCAGAGCAAGCATCACTGTTCTCTTTCTGACCCCTCCCCCACATAGAGCACCACAATGCACCAACATCAGATGCCCTGCCCCGGGTGAATTCCTAAGGCTCTACCCCTTACAACATAACAGGAGCACTGAGACAAAAAAAATATGGCCCAAATGAAAGAACAGATCAAAATTTTAGAAAAAGAGCTAAACAAAATGGAGATAAGCAATCTATCAGATGCAGAGTTCAAAACACTGGTTATTAGAATCCTCACGGAACTTAGTGAGGACCTCAACAGCATGAAAAAGATCCAGTCAGAAACAAAGGTTACACTAATTAAAATAAAGAACAATTTACAAGGAAACAATAGGAGAGTAGATGAAGCTGAGAATCAAATCAATGATTTGGAAAATAAGGAAGAAAAAATCAGAATAACAAGAAGGAAAAAATTTTTTTAATGAGAATTATGTAAGCAGCCTCTGGACAACTTCAAGAGGTCCAACATTCACATCATGGGGGGTGGGGGCAGAAGGAGAAGAGAAAGAGCAAGAAATTGGAAAGCTTTTTAAAAATATAATGAAAGAAAACCTTCCTAATTTAGTAAAAGAGATAGACATGCAAGTCCAGGAAGCACAGAGTCCCAAACAAGATGGATGCAAAGAGGACCACTCCAATACATCACATAATTAAAATACCAAAGGTCAAAGATAAAAAGAGAACCTTAAAAGCAGCAAGAGGAAAAAAAACTTAGTTACCTATAGGGAACTTTCCATAAGACTGTCAGCTGATTTCTCAACAGAAACTTTACAGACTATAAGGGATTGGATAGAAATATTCAGTCATGAAAAAAAGCAGACCTACAGCCCATATTGCTCTACCCAGCAAAGCTATCATTTAGAATCAAAGGGCCAATAAAGAGCTTCCCAGACAATAAAAAACTAAAGGAGTTCATCATCACCAAACCATTATTATACAAAGTAGTAAAGGGAATTATTTAAGAAGATCAAAACTGTGAATAATAAAAGGGTATAAATACATATCTATCAACAATTGAATCTAAAAAACAAGAAGAACAGATACAGAATCATGGATACAGAGAGCATTTTGATGGTTGCTAGTGGGGAGGAGAGTGTGGAGGAATGGGTGAAGAGGTGAGGAGATTAAGAAGTACAAATAGATAGTTACAGAATAACCATGGGAGTATAAAGTACAGTATAGTTAATGGAGTAGCCAAAGAACTTATACACATAACCCATAGACATGAACAATGGTGGGGGGATTGCCTGAGGGAGTGGGGGGTACTGGGTGGAGGTTGGCAAAGGGGGAGAAATCAAGGCAACTGTAATACTATAATGAATAAAATATAATTTAAAAAATAAGAGTACTATGAACAAATGTACACCAACAATTGGTTAACCTAGATGAGAGGGACAAATTACTTAAACACAAAGACTGAATAATAAAGAAATGGAAAATCTGAATGGACCTATGACTAGTTTGGGATTAAATCATAATGAAAAACTTCCCAACAACAACAAAAAGCCTTGGACCAGATGGCTTTACTGTTGAATTCCACAAAACACTTAAAGAAGACCCAGCACCAATTCTTATTCTTCAAAAAAATTGAAGTGGAAACACACTTTTTAGTTCAGTCTAAGAGTCCAGTATCACTTTGATACCAATGTGAGACAAGGGCCCCACAAAGAAAGAAAACTGTAGACCAACATACCACATGAATGTTGATGCAAAAGTCCTCAAAATACCAGCAAACTGATTTCATTAGCATGTACAAGGATTATACACAAAAACCGTATGCCTCCCACCGCTCAGCATCATCTGACCACCAGTGGGCTTTCAAGGCTAGATATTCTTTCCCTCTGAATGTAAGCAGTATTTTATCTCTACTTTCATAACATCCTTTCAACCTAGTATTCTAGTTATTTGTGGATAGCATGTTTCCCAGATTTTCCTCTATACTCAATCATATAATCTGCAAATTATGATAATTTTATTTTCCTAGTTTATTTTTTGGCCATTACTCTTTCTTAGCTACTTGTAACATAGCACTTTACCTAATCTAAGCAAAACTATTATTAAAAATCATATTAATTAGGTTGCAAAATATATGGGGGTAGGAGAATGCTTGGATGCTAAACAGCAAGGAAAAATGCTGCCACTCAGTACTATGAAGGGATGTCAGTTATTCTGCCACAGAAGCCCCATAAGAAGAACCAAGTGCCACCATGAGGGATGCCACAAGATTGTCTTCCCATGTGCAAATGTTTTAAACTTATTTTGTGTATATGTGTTTGTTACTATCTCTTAGTCCATTATTGTAATTATACATGATCTTCCTACTTTTGCATTTTGATCTTTATACTGCCTTCATATTTGGTTGATCCATTGCTTTTACGAAGTGCTTGCCCTTGTCAGAGAGTATTTTTTCATTTTCCATATTTTCTAATTCATATTTTTATCTTATTTTTTATTTACAAATTTCCTTTAACATTTTTTGTAATAGTGAAAATACTGATTTAGTAATAATGAACTCCTCTACCTTTTTTTGGTGGAGGGGAGTCTGGGAAACTATATCTCCTTCCATTCTAAATGAGAGACTTTCTGGGTAATCTTAGTTATAGGTATTTGCTTTAATCACTTTGCCTCTTACTCATAGAGTTTATGTGGAGAAATCATCTGACACTCTAATGCGAGCTCCCTTTCAGGTAACTAGATGCTTTTCTCTTGCTACTTTTAAGATTCTCTCTTTGTCTTTAAACTTTGGCATTTTAATTATGATGTGTCTTGGTGTGGGATTCTTTGGGTTCATCTTGTTTGGGATTCTCTGTGCTTCCTGGACTTCCATGACTATTTCCGTCACTGACTTAGAGAAGTTTTCCATCATTATTTCTTCATATAGGGTTTTAATTCCTTGCTCTCTTTATCCTCCTTCAGGCACCCCTGTGATGCTGATGTTGGTATGCTTGGTGCTATCCTAGAGGACCTTTAAACTGTCCTCAATTTTTGGATTCTGTTTTCTTTTTGCTGTTTTGAATGGATGTTTTCTGCTACCTTATCTTCCAAACCATAGATTCTGTCCTCTGCTTCATCTTCTCTACTGTTCATTCCCTCTAATGTATATATATATTTTTTCATTTCAGTTCTTGTATTCTATATATATGACTCATCCTTTTTTATGGTTTCTATCTCTTCGTTGAGGTTCTCACTGAGTTCATCTATTCTTCCCCAGAGCTCAATGAGCATTCTTATTACCAGTGTTTTGAACTCTGTATCTGGTAGATTGCTTCTCCATTTCATTTAGTTTTTTTTTTTTTTGGGGGGGGGTGTTGTCTCATTCTTTCATTTGGGACATGTTTGTCTCCTCATCTTGGCTGACTCCCTGTGTGTGTTTCTATGATTAGGTAGATCTGCTGTGTCTCCCAGGTTGGGAATAGTGGTTTTATGTAGTAAGTGGCCTGAGAGGGCCAGTGGCGTAGTTTCCATGTTCACTTGAGCCAGGAACTCCAGGGTGTTCCTTGTGTGGGTTGTTTGCTGTCTGGTTGTAGTAGAACCTTGATTGCTGTTTTTATGTCATTGGGTGGGACAGACTCTAAGACTGACTGGCTAGGAGGGCTGACCATGACTACAGTGTACAAGGCGTTGTGCAGGGGCTGATGCCATAAGGCACGATTTGCTCTAGCAGGGCTCTGGTGCCAGCTGAATCCACCCTTCATGTGAGTTGTTTGTGGTGCTGGTTAGGTGGTACTCTGGTATGGTGTGAAGCCAGCCACTGGTTGTACTACTTCTGAAATATCTTTGAAGGGGCTCTGGTGCAGGTCAAAATCGGTCACCTTTTGTGCCCAGCTGAGGGCTGCCTGGTAAGAGCTACAAAGTGATCTGCAGTTGGTTGCCACTTGTGCTGGGCTTGGTGATGCTTGGAGAGGCTACTGCAAACTGAGGCCGGCTGCCACTAGGGCTGCACTTGGGACCCTTTGCTGCACACCCCGAAGTAAGCTGAGGCCAGCTACCAGGCTTGTGGCCATTGAGTTGAAGCTATGTTCCAAGCCAATACTGGTCTCAGTTTAGGCCAGGTTTAGAGCCACCTGATGGGAGTTATGATATAAGTTGAGACTGGTTGCCCTTTCTGGGGTCTCTTAGTAAAGGTACCAGACACGCTGAGGCCTGCTGCAGCTTGTCCGTGGTTTGCGGACCTTTGAGAGATTTTAGGGAAGTGTGCAGCATGAACTGTGCTTATGTGGAAAGGCCACTGGGAGCAGCTCGGGTCACACACATGAGATGGGTGAGGCAGGATCTCAGGAGATCACCAGGATGGGGCCAATGGTGTTAGCCAGGTTACAGGAGAACTCAGATTTGGTGCTTGCCTGTGCCTGCGGGCTGGGTATGGGGAGAGCTCAGGAAAGAAACAATGGTGCCTATGTGCACTTTGTCCCTGGAGAGAGCTGCCCTGACCCCTGCCCCTCCAGCTCTCACACAAAACTAGTCAGTTCGGTTCCTCCCCATATGTCCCTGGCACTTTTCAAACAGCTGCCCCAACACTGGGGCTCAGAGTGAGTGAATCTGTGGACGAGTCCATGTGCAGTCTAGCAAGTAAAATGCCTGGGACCCTCTATCTCACTTGGACGCAATCCTCGCTGGTTTTCACAGCCAGACATTGTGGAGACTTGACTTCCTGGCACTAAAACCCCTGGCTGGGGAGCCTGGTGTGGGGCTGGGACCCTCACTCCTCAGGGGGCACCTCTGCAGCCAAGACATCCCCCCAATTCTCCACTGTCACACCAGGAGTGAGGGACTCGTCTCCTCCCCTCCTGCCAGTCTCAGGGCTTCTCTTTGTGTCGTCAGTTATTGGAATTCTGCTCAGCCTGTCTCCAGGTGCTTTTCAGTGATGGTTGTTTTATAATTTAGTTGTGATTTTGCAGTGGTCATGGAGGGAGGTGAGCACAGGCATTTTGACAGGAAGTCAATAACACTATTTTAACTGCTGTTACTGCATAAAAGGTCTTTACATCGCATCATGTAAATCTTTCAACTTCCTTCCCCCTTCCCCACATTGTTTTGTTTCCTCTAGCTCCTTTGAATTTCCATGTAAGCATTAGAATGAGCATTATCAACTTGTAAAAACAACTTGCTTGGATTTTGACTGGAGTTTTGTTGAGTCTGCAGATCCTATTGGGGAGAATAATACTGAGAATCTGATCCATGAACATCATCTACAGCTCCACTGACTGGGTTTCCTTAATAGTGTTCAGTGATGTTCTCTGTCTTTTACTATATGGTTCTTGCACATATTTTGTTAGATTTAACTGCTTAACATTTTCAGTGTTAATATACAAATTGATTTTAAAACTCAATTTCAGATTGATTTCTGTATATGGACTTTGTGCTCTTGGTTAATTGTTGAAGATCAAATTTAATTATTAGGATGGCATTTCCCTTGAGCAACTGTAGTCCTTTCCTTTTTACTCCATTCATTGGGGTAATGCTGGTTAACAAAATTACACACAGTTTCACAGCCCATCATCTTGCACTGTGCTGTGTGCTCACTCCCCACGTCACGTCTCCGTCCATCACCATTTGTCCCCCTCCATACCTTCCTCTACCACCCCACCCACCCTAGCAGTCACCACAGTTTTCCATGAGTTTTGTTCTTTTTCCCTCAATCCCTTCACTTCCCCCTACAACCCTCCCCTAACAGCTGTCAGCCTGCTCTCTATTAGTTTTAATACTATCTTGTAATTCCCCACAATTTTCTACCAACACAATCCTGTCACGTATGTGAATAAAGACTACTTTACGGCTTCCTTTCCAATGTATGTCCCTTTTATTGGGTTGGGCAAAATTTCATTTGCTTTTTTCTGTAAAATGGTTCCAATAGTTCTTAGTTGTCATTAACTTCATTCAAAACAATTTTGTTAGATGTGACAGCTGTCATCTCAGCATGCATTAAAAAAATACTTATCGAAACTGGTGAAGTTTTACGTAGCCATTTTAATATCAAACATGGAAGAAAATATGCAACATTTTTGTTGTATTACACTTATTTCAAAAAAAGGTAAAAACACAACTGAAATGCAAAAAGAAAGATTTGTGCAGTGTTTGGAGAAGGTGCTGTGACTGATTAAATGTATCAAAAGTGGTTTGTGAAGTTTTGTGTTGGAGATTTCTCACTGGATGGTGATGCTCCATGGTTGGGTAGACCAGTCGAAGTTGATACTGAGCAAACTGAGACATTAGTTGAGAATAATCAATGTTATATTACACAAGAGATAGGCAACATGCTCAAAATATCCACATCAACAAAGTTATTGGTTAAAATGAAAAATGTATACTTTATTTTATGGAAAAAAACATACAGACTTTGGGGCCAACCCAATAGATGTTTGTAATATTCTGTAATTGTCCTCTTAATATTTGTAGACTCTGTAGCAATCTCCCCTTTCTAATACCTGATACTGGTGATTTGTTTCATTTCTCTCTGTTCTTCATCAGTCTAGCTAGAGCTTTATCAATTTTATCGAGATATTGAAAAACTCTGCTTTTGATTTGGTTGGATTTCTCTATAGTCTGTCCATTTTTTATTTCACTTATTTGTTTTTAACTTTATTAAGCCATTTTCTTCTTGCTTTTTGTTTGATTTGTTTTCTAAGGTATTTAAAACGGTATTTATTATTTAAAAAATACCTTTATTACCTTTATGGAAATAGAATTGACGTACAATTCAACAATTTAAAATGTACAATATGCTAACTTTTAGCATTGCACAGAATTCTTTTTCATCATTGTAATAAATTTAAAAACATTTTCATTACCCCTGAAAGAAACCCTCTACCCCTTAGCCATCACTACCTAATTCCCTATCCCCAGGCAACCACTAATCTGCTTTCTTCCTGTACAGATTTGCCTATTCTGGACATTTCAAAGGGAATCGGACAATATGTGGTCCCTGGTGACTGAATTCTTTCACTTAGTATATGGCGGAACCCCCCCCCCCCCAAAAAAAAACAGGATTATCATCTGGAGGGAGGGTCCCCTGTAGTGTAGGCTTCCCCCACGAGGTGAGTGTTCTAGGAACCCATCCTCATCAGTATACGAGCTGGCGTGGTGAGAAGCTGTGTGCAGCTTCAGTGTTTTTTTTGAAGACTCAACATGTTTGCCCATTTCATGATGGGTTATTTACAAACACATCTGCCTGCACCATGCTGAGTGTTCTGCAGTTTTTGACCAAGGGTGGCATGACCTCCATGCCCCACCCTCCCTATTCACCTGATTCCACCCTGAGTGACACTTTTTGTTTTGTTTTCCTGGATGAAAAAACTCCTCTAAGGGAAACATTCTGCCAGTGTAGAAGAGGTGAAACAAAACACAGCAGAAGCACTAAAAGGCATCAAAACTGATGAGTTCAAAAACTGTTTTGAGCAGTGGAAAAATGTCTCAACAGGTGTATTGCATCAAATGGAGTGCACTTTGAAGGTGACTGAAGTTTAAACATGTAAGAATAAATACACAATTTTTTAGAAATAAATTTCTGGGGGGTTGCCCCCCTTTGTATGTATCGGAGGGTTCATCCAACTTGTAGCATGTGTCAGTACTTCATTTCTTTCTATCACTGAGTAATATTTCACTGTATGGCCCTTCTAGCTTTTTACGGTCTAAAAGATTTTTAAGTTTGGACCTTTCTTCTTCTTCTTTTTTTTTAAGTTTAATTTTCTTTTTCCTTCGCAGAGAGAATGGTTTTCTGAGAGCACACAGGACTGAAGAAGCCAACGCAAACTGGAATTCCCTTCTGTCTAGGTGAAACAGGTTTGGTCCTGCCTGCTGCCCTCCTAACACTTGCTACCAGCCAAGGTGAGTGCTCCTCTCTCTTCAGTCAGGATGGCCACTTGTTTCAAGAATAACTGGATGGTTTGTTACCAGAATCATCTTCTTGTGATCCCATGCTCTTTTGCAGAAACTGGGGGTTCACAGTGATCTCCTGGTCCATGGCCTTCAGCCACTCATCCAGCTCTATGCACTTCAGCATCTCCTGGTCGATGTTGTGGAGCATGGCTAGGTTACCATACTTCTCAGGGTTATCATGGAAGCTGACCATACCATTCTTCTGGTTAATGCTGGCAAAAATTTCACCATCTTCTATCAGTCTGGCTGAACAGTTTGTTGTTGTTGGACTTCCGTATAGTTCAATTTTCTGTGTTTTGGTTGCGCTTTTTTTTTGACAAAAACTTTGTTGTCTTTTTAAAAATATATATTTTATTAATTATGCCATTACAGTTGTTCTATTCCCCCCTTCATTCTCCTCCACCCTGCACACCCCCTCCCCCACCATTCCCCTTCTTTAGTTTATGACCACGAGTCTCAAGTTCTTTAGATTCTATATTTCCCATACTATTCTTGCCCTCCCCCTATTTTCTACCTACCATCTATGCTACTTATTTTCTGTACCTTCTCCCCCATTCTCCTTTTTCCCACTCCCCTGTTGCTAACCCTCCACGTGATCTTCATTTCTATGATTCTGCTCCTGATCTAGCTGTCCTCTTAGTTTGCTTTTGTTTTAGGTGTGGTTGTTAATAACTGTGAGTTTGTTGTCCTTTCACTGTTCATCTTTTTTATCTTCTTTTTCTTAGATAAGTCCCTTTGACATTTCATATAATAAGGGCTTGGTGATGATGAACTCCTTGAATTTGATCTTATCTGAGAAGCACTTTATCTGTCCTTCCATTCTAAATGAAAGCTTTGCTGGATAGATCAATCTTGGATGTAGGTCCTTGCCTTTCATGACTTGGAATACTTCTTTCCAGCCCCTTCTTGCCTGTAAGGTCTCTTTTGAGAAATCTGCTGAGAGTCTAATGGGAACTCTTTTGTAGGTGACTGTCCCCTTATCTCTTTCTGCTTCTAGGATTCTCTCCTTCATTTTAATCTTGGCTAATGTAATTATGATGTGGTTTGGTGTGTTCCTTCTTGGGTCCAACTTCTTTGGGACTCTCTGAGCTTCCTGGATTTCCTGGAAATCTATTTCCTTTGCCAGATTGGAGAAGTTCTCCTTTATTATTTGTTCAAATAAGTTTCCCACTCGTGGCTGTTCCTCTTCCCCTTCTGGTACCCCTATAATTTGGATGTTGGAATGTTTAAAGATGTACTGGAGGTTCCTAAGCCTCTCCTCATTTTTTTGAATTCTTGTTTTTTCATCCTTTTCTGTTTGGTCATTTTTTTCTTCCTTCTAGTCCATTCCTTTGATTTGAGTCCCAGTTTCCTTTCCATTACTATTGGTTTCCTGTGTATTTCCATTCATTTCAATTAGTTTAGCCTTCCTATGTTCCTCTAATTTGTGACTAAAATCAACCAGTTCTGTGAGCATCCTGATCACCAGTGTTTTGAACTGTGCACCTGGAAGTTTGGCTATTTCTTCATCACTTAGATTTATCGGCTCTGGGGCTCTGAGTTGTTCTTGAGCCATGTTTTGATTTGTTCATGCCTGTTAGGTATGAGGCGAGGAGCCTTAGGTGTCCACCAGGGCGGGGCCGCCCAGGTTGCTGGTTTGTGACGCTTCGTGTGGGGGTGGGGTCAGAGAGGGACAATGGTGGTTCCCTCTGTGGCTTCCTGCTGCTGGGGCCTATGCAGTCAGTCTCCCTGCTAGCCCCTTCACCAGTTTATCTGCACGTGAATGTGTGACCGCAATCAGCCCCCAGTGGGTCCACTGCCTTGCTCCCTCAATGGATCTGCCTGCTAATCCACACCTGGAATCCGCCCATGGCTGCTGGCGCACCTGGGTCGTGTGCCCGGGTGGGTCTGCTGGATTTTTCCTGCCCAACCCCGCTCTGCTGTTGGCTCTGCCCCTCTTACGGGTTTGGCTGAAGGGTTCATTGTCGTCAGACTTCCATATAGTTCAATTTTCTGTGGTTTGGCTGAGTTTTTGTTGCTAAAACTTTGTTGTCTTTAAACTTGGTTGTGCGAGGAGGTACAGTGTTTCCACCTACACCTCCATCTTGGCCAGAAGTCTGGACCTTTCTTCTTTTTAACATGGACATTTAGTGCTATAAACTTTCACCTAAGCTCTAATTATTTCCATCATACTAAGCGTTTTCTCTATTCTCTTTTGAATTGAATACATTGATTTTTTTGTAGTATTATTTTTGGTTTTTATAATGTCCTTTAATGTTTTAAGAAAAAGGTAATAGAATGAGGAATATAATATCTGATCAGGGTCAATTGTAATGCTTCCTGAAGAACCAAAAGATAATTTTTTCAAGCAAACACTTCAGCCCAACCAGTATATTTCCATCATCTATTCTTGACCAAATGGCTGAGATCAGAATTTCTAAAACTTGGCACTATTGACATTTTGTTGGGCCTGATAATTCTTTTTTTTTTAGATATAATTGCCTTATTATATTAGTGCCAGGTGTACAACATAATGATTCAGTATTCATATATATTGCAAAATGATCATCACATATGGTTAGTTTTTCCTTGGGAGAACTTTTAAGATTTAGTTTCTTAGCAACTCTCAAGTATACATTACAGTATTATTAACTATGGTCCCTAGGTTGTACATTACTTCCACAGATTTATTTATTTTATAAGTGGAGATTTGTATCTTTTGGCCACTTTCACCCATTTCACCCCCACCCCATCCCTCACTTCCGGCAACTAGTAATCTGGTGTCTGTGTCTATAAGTTTGTTCCATTGTTGTTTTGTTTTTAGATTGCATGTATAAGTGAGATCAAACAGTATTTGCCTTTCTCAATCTGGCTTATTTCACTGACCACGATGTACCATTGGACCATCAGTGTTACAAGGGACAGAATTTGCTTTGTTTTTATGGCTAAGATTCCATTTTATATACAGTTGGCCTCTGTACCCACATCTCTGGATTCAACCAACAGCAGATCAAAAATGTTCAAAAGGAAAGGTTACATTGTTGTCGGTCTGTGCTATATGGTTGGGCTATAATGGTTGTATCTGTAATGAAAATATACAGAATTTTTTCCTTTTAAGTATTTCCTAAATGATACAGTATAACAACTATTTACATTGTATTAATCATTTTAAGTAATCCAGAGAGTCTTTAGAGATGATTCAATGTATGTGAGAAGATGTGTATAGGTTGTGTGCAAACACTATACCATTTTATACAAGGGACTTGCACATTTGTGGAATGTGGTACCCAAAATTGGTCCTGGGACCATACCCCGTGGATGCTGAGGTATGACTGTGGAGATCAACTGTTCTTTCTCCCAGTTACCCACTGAGAGACATGTAGGCTGCTCTGCTGTCTTGGCTTCAGTAAATAATGCTACAGTGAACATGAGGGTGTATGTACCTTTTCGCATTTGTGCTTACATTTCTCTCAGGTAAATACAGCAGGTGGAAACTGGATCACATGTAGTTCTACTTTTCACTTTTTGAGGAACCTCCATACTGTTTTTCATTGTGACTGTACTATGAGTAGAATCTTTTTAGGTATTATACCATAAACATTAAAAATTCAATATTTTCCTGTAACTGCTGCTATAACCCACAGTCTCAATAATTAGTGTTTTTTTGTTGTTTTCATATCGAACTATTTCATAATTTCCATTCTGGTATGTGAAGCTCTTTCTCTAGATTCCTTGTGGAGGAATCATACACACAGTGTTTGCCCAGTTCCTGCACGTAGAATTGTCTGTGCCCTTTCTAACTGAAGGTTAGTAATTCTGCATAAAAAGCCCTTTGTTCACACATTCTTTCCTTGACTATCTTAAATATATTAATCCATTTTCTTGTGGGATAAAGTATTTCTATCAACATCTGACCATGATCTAATTTTCTCTCCCCTGTAAGTAATGAGGTCTTTTGGCCAAAATGCTTGAAGGAATTTTTCCCTCTCTTAAAGTCTAGAGACTTTACAGAAATGTTTTGGTGTTGGTCACTCTGGCTTATTTTCTGAGGTACACAATGGGCTCTTTCAGTATGTGTTTTTAAATATTTTTATTTCAAGAATGTGTTGTGTCAGTCCCAGCCTGTTGACAGTGATCCCATTGGCTGGGAATGCCCTAGGCCCTGCCTGGGCCTGTGTGACCCGCGGGAGCCTCGCCCCATAGTTCCTGGGCAGGAGCCAGTGTTGTGGCTGGAGCAGACTGAAGTTCTTACTATGACTGCAGGGCACACCTCAGCAAAAACCATCGGGAAACCTTGGAGAACAGGATTGAGCACTCCCAGACCCACGAGAGCACAGAGCATGCCCAGGGCCACATGGCAGGGTCATGGCTAGGAATGGAGGGCACACACACCTGGCTTCATTAGGGACTGAGGTTGGGTTGCCTAGGGTTTGAAGGGTTTCTTTATTGGCAAATTTCAAGTATAAGAAGCCAGGTATTGAAAGACAAATACCATATGATCTCACCTTTAACAGGAAGCTAAACAACAAAACAAACAAGCAAGCAGAATAAAAACAAAGACACTGAAATAGAGAACAAGGGGATAATGACCAGAGGGGAGAGGGAAAGGAATTTAAGGGGGAAAAGGGGGAGGGATTTGGAGAAGCAAATATGAAGGACACAGGGATGAGAACTGGGGGGGGGGGGTGGAAATGGGAGGGAGGTGGGGAGCACGGGGTGGGGGGGGCTGGGATGGGAGAAACAGGCAAAAAGCTGTACTTGAAAAATAACTAAATAAAATTATTGGGGGAAAAAAACATAAATCACTGCATAGAACGGGAAAAGCGGGAACACTCAGGGGGTCAGTATTCTAGATTATCCAGAATTTTATAAGAGGAGCCTCATGAGTTGGGCAGAGCCTGATTCCTTGTCTAACTATTTTGCTTGGAGCTGTGCCATACAGCTGACCATGTTTCTTCAAGATGGATGAT